CATAGGCACCAGGCCCAGGATATCAGGAACTCTAGCCACCACACAGCCCTGAGGACTCTTGGAGATTAGCTATCCATTTTCAGCCCAAAGCCTGCGTCCCTGGAACCCACGCCCCACCCTGTAACAGTGCTGGGAGACAGTGCTGGGAGGGAGCACTGGGGTGCCGAAGCCCGGGGAGCCACCTGCCATCCTGTCCTATCCTGAGATCACAGGAGAAGAGCTGTCTGTGGACCAGGACGCACACAGCCCACATGGCCCAGACTCAGCGGGAAGTCTGGTGGCCAGTGTGGGAAGGCAGGGTCCAGCTTTCCCATCTTCCTGGCTGGCTCTGGGGACATAGCCAGGCAGGGCCAATCATATCTGATCATCTACTTCCCAGAGGGAGGCTGGCCTCCTCCACCTGGGGGCCTAGTGCACACTCCAGGAGACAGAGGCGGTACCTCATTGCCTGGGGTGGGGACACTGAGGGTTCTCTTGGGGCCTGGAAGCTCTGCGGAACGCAGCCCACTCCCAGAAGGCACTGGCACAGCCTGCCTTTTTGTATTGAGGGGGTGGGTTTAGCTTTGTCTGGATTCTCTCAACCCATTCCTTTATTTTAGGACCAGGCCTTGTCTGTGTCCCAAGTGACCCTGGGCGAGCGAGTCCCAGAGTGGAAGGAGGGAAGTGGATAGGGACACTTGGGTGATGTCTGCGGGCCTGGAAGCTGCAGACTTCTTAAAAGCCCACGCTCGATTACGATTTCCTTGTCATCCTGCCTGCTTTCGTCTCTTCTGTCCTACCTCAGGCACGAAGCCCTCTCTCTGGTCCTCTCCCACCCTACCTGCACCTCAGGGTTGGGCCCCTGAAGCCTCTGCCCCGAGACTTCAGGACGTCCTGGCCTCTGACAGGTGAAGCCACCAGGCTGTCATGAACGACGCTTCTGTGGGGCAGCTCTGCTGGGAACAGGTGCCTACCACCCTGGGCAACTCTGCTCTTTCTGAGTGCTCTTCTTGCTCTTTCCTTCTTTTGTATTTATTTATTCTATGGTGCTGAGGATGGAACCCCAGGGGCGTAGGGCTGAGTTCCAGCCCCAGCCACTTTGTTATTACCTTCCTGAGGAAGGTGTCACTCAGCTGCTAAGCTGCAGGGCTGGGCCCAAGTTTGTGACTCTCCTGCTTCAGGTTCCCCTTGCTAGGGATACAAGCGCACTGCACCCCAGCTGGCTCGTGACCCTCAGGAGCAGCCTGTGCCCAGGCGTGAGGGACTGTGGTGGGCTCTTCCCTGAGCGATTCCCAAGGCCCTTCCACCTTGCATGCTCACAGGAGGGAAGCGTGCTGTCCGGCCGAGCGGGCCTTTCTTCGGAAGCAGTCTGGCGGCCAGGGAAGGTCTGCTGCTCTTCGGGAAGCCCTTTGAGGAGAGGTGTGATCTCTGGTTTGTTATCCAGGTTAGACCCTGAGGCATGTCAAAAGCCATGTGTCTGCTGCGAGGCCCTCTGGAACGCTAACCACCTAAGCGCAGAGCTTTCTCCAGTGTTGCTGGTGCTGGGGATTCTGTATGGGGGTGTTTCGTGTGCTGCCCTGTCACTCATTTATACCAGGGTTGAAGGAAATGTCACTCTTCTGCGAAGGCGCTGTTCCCGAGTGAAGGAAGGAGCCTACACTGCAGACCCAGGATCTGTCTGGGAGCCCGCAGCTTCCTGTGGTTTCAACAGGAAGGCGTGGGCGAGCAAACCGGGCGGGCCAGCCAGGAGTTCCACCCCTGTCACAAGATTGGAGAGGACGAGGCGGGGTCACTGGGGCTCTGCATCTCCAGGAGGCAGCTGGCCCCGCTCTCCTGGGAGTCATCTTGCCACCTTGACCGACATTCCCAGGACAGGCGTGGGTGCAGCTCGAGGGCGTCATGGCCACACCTCTGTGGCAAGGAGGCCCAGTCCAGGAGACATCACTGACACCTCCTTCTGGCGCGTGAGTGATTCAGGCCTCCTCTGGTGCGCTCCGGGCCTGCCAAGCCGGACACCAGGCCAGCACGCCCCACCTCCTCCGTCAGGGGCTCACAGGAGCTGCGCGCTGCGGTGGTGAGCACAGGTGAGGACAGGAGCCTCAGCCTCCCTCGAGGCCGAGCTGGAATTCCACTTCCCGGCACCCAGGGCCTGGCTACCCATCCCGCCCAGTGCAGCAGTGCAGCAGTGCAGCAGTGCGGGAGCAGAACTTGGAAGGGAACCCTCAGGTGAGTTCCATTGTTTGGTGAGTAGCAAATACTCTGAGCCAGCTGCTGCTTGTTGGGTGGGACACCTCCTAGCGTTGGGCTGAGAGTCCCAAACGTTAACTTTTGTTTTTATGCTGACGTATTTGGTTCACATCACTTTATACTCTGTGCTGAGAAAGAGGTGGTAGCTCCCAGTGCGTAAGCTTGTCCCTAAGTACAGCTGGGTTGGAAAGTAAACCGAGTGGGTGGAGATGTGTAACATACGCATAATATATATAATTAAATGAATTAAACTTGCAAAGTTGCAGTAGGCCGAGGTGGAAGGACCTTTTAAGCCTGGAGTCTGAGGCCAGCCTGGGCCACACAGGAAAGACTAAACGTTCATGGCTTGTGGGCATGAGCGGAGGCAGCGTGCTTGCTAGCACACACAAGACACCAGATTCCACCCTCAGCATGAGCGAGAGGGAGGGACAGAGTTTCACCTCGTCTTCCAGGACTGATCAGTCTCATCAGTTTTGGAAAGCTGGTTGTTGTGGCAACGCCCAAGACCTTTGGCCACCCAGATCTAAGGGCTGTTTGTGTTTGAGGTAATTACAGCCATTAGCTACATAAATTCTCAGATCCAAGCCAGGCACTGTTTCGTGGCTCAAAATTTTCAGACAGATACAATTTTTAGAAAAAGAAATGGACACGGGGAGTGTTCATACACAAGAGGGACTATAGGGAGATAAAGCCTTATAGCACAATTTTCCTGTGTAAGGTTTAATTGTACCACAGTTAAAAAGCATGGGGTGGGGGTAACGAAGGAGCAGGCTGAGCATAAGACCAAATGAGTATGAGCAGACTTCTGCGCAGGGGATGGAGGCTTGTTCAACAGATGCGGCAGGATTCCGCTGAAGGAGGGCGGTATGTGAGGAATTCAACCAGGCACCAAGCAAGGCCTGGGCTGATCCTCGGGGTGGAAGATCCAGCTGGATGGAGGAGTATTGGGTCCTTGTCACAGCAGACCAAGAAGCTGACCCGTGGATCGCACAGCCTCTTGTGCTTGTTGTCCGCAGGCCACCCACCTGGGCTCTCGGGAGAACCGCATTGTACAGTGCTGTTCAACAGCATAGTGGCCTACTTCTCCCGCCCACACAATGAACTGGGGTGCAGGAGGAAGGTGGGGCAGTGGGCGGAAGGTCTCTGGCCAGGAGTCAACAGCCTGGCCTCCTGGATGGGAGTGGCAGCAGGCTGCTTGGATTTCATCAGACTGGGTGGTGCTTGCGTTGTTTCACCTGTCACTGAGGCTGCTGAGTCTCCTGGGGTGCCTAGAGATGCTGACCTCTGGCCGGACCCGCCATGAGCCCAGGACACGACTTCTCCTGTTCCCATGTGACCCGGAGGACTCGGTGCCAAAGCAGAGTGTGCGCGTAAACCTTTCCTAATGTCCTGGAGACAGGGTTATTTTCAGTGGGTATCCATAAGCCAAACTCCTTAATGCCCCAACAGCCCAAGAGGGACAGAAGAGGTATTTTTATGTATCCCAGAGTCGGCACACTCCAGTTCAACAAAGGGGACATTCGAATGGCTCTCGGTGTCAGGATGGAGATGTGGTCCAGGGCGCTGCTCTTCATTTCGCTTACTACACTGGTTCTTTGAACAAGTATGTACTGATCACTCGGTGCCAGGTGGTATGTTAGATGTGGGGACAAAAGAGGAAACAAAATCAAGTTCCAGTTCCTGCTTTCATGCAGCTTACATCTTAGCCAGAAAAGACAGAACAAGACAAAAATAGGCTGGTCGTGGTGGCCCAAGATTGTAATCCCAGCACTAGGGAGGCTGGGGGAGGAGGATCGTTAGGAGTTTGAGACCAGCTTGGGCTACAAGGTGAAAACAACACCAGCTTGAACTGCATAGGAGACCCTGCCTCTCAAAAAGACAAAGAGGGCCGGGGGATAGCTCCGCGATCTTGAGCACCTGCCTGGGAAGCGCAAGGCCGGAGTTCATCCCTGGTCGTGGTGGTGCACGCCCATAATCCCAGCACTGGGGAGGCTGAGACAACAGGAGCATCTCCATGACTTCTTAAAAAATGTTTAAACGACAAAAAGTTAAGCAACCACATAAATCTTACTTAGAAATGTATCACTATAACAAACAAACTACGCTGACGCTGAGGCGAAAATCAAACCCGTCTCTGGGGCGGACTCTGGCGGCGCCCTCCACTCAAGACACAGCTACCGACCGCCCGCGGCGCCGCTTCCCGGTCCACACGGCCGGCAGGCGTCCGCATCCGCAGGCTGAGGTCTCCAGGGGCGACCCGCGGGGTCCTCGCGGCCCTCTGTGAGGGCTTTCCGCGGAAAGGGCGCGCAGGCGTCTCGAGCGGCGACGTCTGC